GTTGCCTTTGGCCCGATTAATGGAAAAAAGTAAATTATTCCACAGTGGACCTGCTGAAGGTATGTGTGGAGCCAAAATTACAAGGATTTTATCCCTTAGTTTTTCCCCTAACTTTCCTGTTGGTATGAAATTCAGCAGCACTTAACTAGTTTTGTATTTTTTTAAAAGGGAAAATAATGGGTCTGTTGATACTAATTTGGATTTTTTATTGATGACCCCAGAGGTAGCTCTTGATTAGAAAATTATATTAGTAATAGAAATGGCTCTTTACTTCTACCCCATATGGGCATATCAGGGTAAAAATAGTCTGATGGTGTAATTTAGGTATTCTCCACTGATCCAGATGCCAGATCCATTAAAATCATTATGTGCCAGACACTGTGGAAGGAGATTTTACAGACATTATTTCATTTAATTCTCACAATCTCGTGCTGAAGCCTCATTTAAAGGTAAGAAAGTTGGAGTGAGGAGTCAGTGAATGGCACAGCAGGGATTAGAAACCAGGCCTTCCAATTCCATGCTTGATACCCTTTCCGCTGTACATGTACTGTACAGGACACTTCACGATTCACTGGGAAATGGCCTACTTTAAAGAAACAAGTTTCTCAGAGACTAGAGGGCAGGCAAAAAGGAGTGTTTGTTTGGGAAAGAAGCAGAGGCAAATGATATGGTGGGATGAGAAAGAGAAAGAGAGAGAGAGACAGACACACAGAGAGAAATGCATACAGAGAGAAATGGGGATAAACACAGAGAGAGAATGGGCAGGACAGAGTGGGAAGCACTGCTATGGTAGAGTCTTTCAGCAGAGGATGCATCCTTAGGAATGTTAGGATGTTTCACTGTGTAAAGTGCTACTTACAGCGGAAATTATGAAACCTATTGTTGAATTGTAAAGAGGCTTATAAGTGTAACCCAAATATATCTTGGCTGCCTTGAGGCCAGTCCTGCTCACGGATATGTCTCTCAAAACATACTTCCGACTTCAATGGCTAAGTAAATTGTGTAAATCCTTTTTTTTTAAGACATTGTATTCATTTTATTTTTTGAGACAGGTCTCACTCTGTCACCCAGGCTGGAGTGTGGTGGCTTGATCACAGCCCACTGCAGGCTTAATATCTCAGTCTCAAGAAATCCTCTCACCTCAGCCTCCAGAGTAACTGGGACTGCAGGTGCATGCCACCACGCATCACTGAGTTTTTAATAAAATTTTTAGAAGAGACAAGGTCTTGCCATGTAACCCAGATTGATCTTAAACTCCTGAGCTCAGGCAATCCACCAGCCTTGCCCTCCCAAAGTGCTGAGATTACATGTGAGAGTCACTATGCCTAGCCTATTTATCTATTTTTAATAAACCTATGTAAGTATCTTATCTTGAGAATTAGAACATTATTAGTAACTGTGAAGCCCCCATGTTTTCTTCCTGATCTCATCTCATTGCCTCTTCACTGAAGCTAATAATTTTTATGATTATGAGAATAATTATTCCTCATTTTTCTATTGAAAATATTCAATTTTTAATTGACACATAATTGTGCATATGTATGGGAAACAGTGATACATACTCATAAAATGATCAGATCAAAGTAATTAGTCTATTTTTCTTTATAGTTTGACAAACTATGTATATTATGGGGATAGTATACAACACATTTTACATTTTTAAAAAATGTTAACATTTTCTTATGGTAAGAACACATAAAATCTATTTTCTTAGCAAACTTCAAGTAGCTAAACACAGAAAGAAAAATATTGCATAATCTTATTTATATTGGGAATACCAAAAGGAAAAACAAGGTGGATACCTAGAAAGAATAGAATGGTGGCTACCGAGGGTGGGAAGGGGGAGAAATGGGGATATCAAAGAGTGCAAAGTTAGAGTTACATAGAGTGAGTAAGTCTGAGTTCCGATGTACAGCGTGTGGACTACAGTTAACAGCATTGTGTTGTATTTTGAAAATCTTTATACTCAGTTTTTTTGAAAGAGTGTTGCTATACTTTGGATGTTTGTCTCCCTCAAGCCTCACATTTTATCCCCACAGTGGGAGGTGAGACCTAATGGGAGGCATTTGGGTCATGGGAGTTGGAGCTCTCATTGAGTGGCTTAGTGCTGTGCTTGCTGTAATAATTCCTCAGTCCATTAGTTCTCGTGAGAGCTGGTTATTGAAAAGAACCTGGCACTCCCCCGTTTCTCTCTTGCTTCCTCTCTGACCATGATATCTCAGCAGCCTGAGGCTTTCACTGCTGGGCTTTTGCCCGCTCTTCCAGCCAACAGAATCAAAAACCAAATAAACCTTTATTTTTTTTTTAAGAAAAAAGAAAGGAAGAACCCAGCCTTAGGTATTTCTTTAAAGCAATACCAAACAAAGTAAGACACATGTGTACAATTTTAACTAGAGGCAGCACATTACAGAGCAAAACATCCTAAAATTCCTTAGAATACCTTCTCTGCCAGGAGACCCCGCAGCAGCTGTGCTTCCTACTCTGTCTCACCCATTCTCTTTTTGTATGTTTCTCTCTGTGTGTATTTCTCTGTGTCCGTCTTTCTCTCTTTTTCCTGACACCATGATGCCACTTGCCTCTCCTTTTGCACACCAACACTCCACTCAGGTATTCCCCTCCCAACTCGTGCCCCTCCTCTTCACACAGGGCCCCCGGGGAAGTCTGTGACTGCTTTTAATCTCATAGGGAACAGGCCTTGGAATTTCAGTGAATAAAATTCTCCATCTCATTATATAGGTTAATAAGCTCCTAGAGCATGTTCAGATCCTATGAAATATTAACAATGTGACACAGAAGTTGTAGGCGGAGGGTATCTCATGCTTAGAGCATTTAGGAGCCTTGGCCAATGGAATATCAGTCAGAAATCAAAACAAAGCATTGTTAAATGCATAATAAAAAATCAGTGGGAAAATATTTGATTTCTAAATGTCTGATGTAGGAAGCAAATTCTGGGGAGACCATTCATTGCTACTTCCAGGAAAATGTCTTTAAAACTGAAGATGCATGTGACCTTGCCACTAGGAAATGAACAACATGTTTGTGTTATGCAAAACAAAGAAGAAAAATCGTTTTGGAAGTCAAGCAGTAAGCTGTAGAGTTAACATTGAGTGACAGCAGTTTTTTTATTCTACAGTGTACGATAAGCCGTAGGTGATCGGGTTAGCACTCAGCTTCCCATTCAGAACTCGGTGGAATCAACTATCTTTTATGAGCACAGATTGAAGGCAAGGTCCCCACTGAACCTCTCAAAACAATGGAGAGGTTTGAACATAAAGCCAAAGCTCTTCTAACTGAGGTTCTGATTTTATGTGCTCCTTAAAGATAAACATAGATTTAACTTTGACACTTTGGTATCTTGCATTGACCTGTTAAGTTAAAAACAGCAACCCTGAGCAAAGAAACCACAGAAGAGTTTCTTTTCTTGGAGGTTTTTGAGTGTGTGTGTGTGTGTGTCCTTCAGTCTTTTTTGGCCATGGTAAGACACTTAATTTTTGCAATACCGTTGTTGTAGGAGCAATAGCTAAGTGGTTCAAGTAGGACAGGACAGAGTCTGAAGCTTCTGGCAAATTCAAAACTGTGCAGTTTGGTTTTCCAGCCTCGATCCTCCCTTTGCCCAAACAAGCTCTCACTGCCAGGTGTCCTCTCAACTTACAGATTCCCTGGAGCAATTCCCCCAAAGACTTTTATGAACAGTATTTGCCAGAATCTGTCTAATGCCAGAGGTTCTCCGCTGTTTACACAGATTCTCCATCAGATTAAAGTTGTTCCCACCTTTAAATTTTAGAAGGGTGATTTGGAGACTGTCAGGATTATCCACATACTTTGCGCATTTGAGAAAGTCCAGGATTGTCAGATAGTAACAATTTTTTTTCCTTTTCTCTATTTTCTCTTTTCTCTTTTTTTTCCTCTACGCTTTTGGGTGCTGAAATAATTTTATTCTTCTGCAGACTTTGGAAAGGGACTGCTTGAGTTCTAGAAGATAGAGAAAGTTTCAAGGAAGGAAAAAAATAAATCATAGGATCAGACTAATGAAGGCATTCATCATGGACCAGGTCTGGACTCTTAGTTCCTGGGTCAGGGAATAATAATCGTGACACTGTAAACTCCTAGTGGGAGGAATCATAATTTATAGGCTGACTCTACACCATTACTCTGAACTCCCTTTTTATTTGCTTCCTGTCCTAGCTTTCCTTGCAGCTAAAGGTAGCCATGTGACACTAAGCAATGGAACTTCAGCAGGAGTCTGCTAGGCTGAGGAAGAGGGCTTTCTTATTTAAAACAAACGATATAACATGCATCTGCCTTTTGACCCTGTCTTGAATGCAGATTCTGTGCCTGGAGACCACAGCAACCATCTATAAACTATGAGGGAAATGCCAAGCCAATGGCAAGAACCTTGGACCTGGCATCATTGAGTCATGGAACCAAAGCCAGCAGCAGCCTCCTTCCAAGGAACTTATTAGTTAATAATGAAAAGAATCTATGTATTTGAACCACTCTGTGATGGATTTGCTGCTGCTTGAGCCAAACACATTCCTAACTGATACAATGCCCCGGCTAGTGCCTAGCAAAATGACCTTCAACCAGCGAGAGGGAGGAAAAACACAGGCGATCAGGCCTTAATAACCATCTCAATAGCAACCGTTCTAAAATCTGCTTCTCTAATCCCAGTCTGCTGCCTAAATTTTAGAACCCTGTGTCCTATGGCCTAATGGGTATTCCCAACGGGAAGTACCTCAAACTCTTCTTGTACTAAACTAAACCCCTCTTTTTCCCTCTAAATCTGCTCCTCTGATTTAAATTCTTAATTTAAACTAACAGCACCACAGTCCTCTAACTGTTGAAGTCAGGATATAGGCCCCATCCAGTGGAACTCTGTTGAGCTTGCACCATTTCAAAGTCCTTATGACAGATTCGCAACTTTCTCTGTTCTAAAGTTGGCTTTTTTTTTTTAAACCTGGAGACTAGTCACATAATTAACTGAGAAAAAAAAATACATGGTGCTTGCTTTGGCAGCACATACACTAAAATTGGAACGATATAGAGAAGATTAGTATGGCCCCTGCTCAAGGATGACATGCAAATTCATGAGGCGTTCCATGTTTTTCAAAGGGCTAATATCTAGAATCTACAAAGAACTAAAACAGATATACAAGAAAAAAGCAAACCCATTCAAGAGTGGGTGAAGGACATGAACAGACACTTCGCAAAAGAAGACATATCTGAGGCCAAAAAATATATGAAAAAAAAACACCCATCATCCCTGGTCATTAGAGAAATGCAAATCAAAAGCACATTGAGGCATCATCTCACGCCAGTTAGAATGGTGATCATTAAAAATCTGGAGACAACAGATGCTGGAGAGGATGCGGAGAAACAGGAACACTCTTAAACAGTTGGTGGGAGCGTAAATTAGTTCAACCACTGTGGAAGACAGTGTGGCGATTCCTCAAGGACCTAGAAATAGAAATTCCATTTGACCCAGCAATCCCATTACTGGGTATATACCCAAAGTACTATAAATTGTTCTATTATAAAGACACATGCACATGTATGTTTGCTGCGGCACTGTGTACAAGCAAAGACCTGGAACCAACCCAAATGCCCATCAATGATAGACTGGACAAAGAAAATGTGGCACATATACACCATGGAATACTATGCAGCCATAAAATATGATGAATTCATGTCTTTTGTAGGGACTTGGATGAATCTGGAAACCATCATTCTCAGCAAATGGACACAAGAACAGAAACAAAACACCACATGTTCTCACTCATAGGCAGGTGTTGAACAATGAGAACACATGGACTCAGGGAGAGGAGCATCACATACTGGGGGCAGTTGCAGGGGGACTATGGGAGGGACAGCGGGGAGTGAGGAGGGTGAGGAGGGATAACATGGGGAGAAATGCTGGATATAGATGAAGAGGGAATAGAGGCAGCAAACCACCTGGTTATGTATGTACCTATACAACAAGCCTGCATGACCTGCACAGGTACCCCTAAACCCAAAGTAAAACCAAAAAAAAAAAAAGGAAAAAATACACAATGACATGAGGATGAGGTTTTCTCACATCACTGCTCCTCTGCCTGCTCTCATATCTTCAGACTTAAGGACAAAAGAGAAAGGGAGAGGAGAAGGGAAGTGTCCTTACCCTGCCATCTGGTTCATCCCAGATCTGCCCAGCTGCCCAGCCTTGATGAGGGAAAGGGCTCCTGGAGAGGGCAGGGCCAAACAGCTAGGACTTTCCAAAAGACAAGAAGATAGCAGGAAAATGCCTCTCAGGAAGAAGCTATGTGAGGACCAAAATATTAAATCTCATTGTTTTGTTTTGCTTTTTAAATTATACAGTCTAATCCTACCCACAGGGGCCATTAATATGGGCTCCTCCCTAGAGACTCAACTCGAAATAGCAAAAGAACATTTTAAAAAATGCTTTGGTTTACATAATCCACTCATAATCCACTTACATAATGAAGTCAGCGCTGGAGCTGGCCCTAGGATTCACTGGAACCAGGAGTTGACAACCTTCAGAAATGCCTTGCCCGTCCGCTTCATTCTCTCAGTGCAGAGAGGCTGCTTCTCACTGCAGCCCACAGGTCACCAGCCCCTCAGCTCAAGCCCAAAGAGAAAAAGTTTCCTCTCACCTCGCCTCAGTGCAAAAAAATCCCAGAAAAATAATCAGCAGGCATTTTCTGAGGTCCTTGAGGACAAGCTTTGTACACATAAAAGACTGTGAGCAGCAACTTGCTTTCTAAGATAAATATTCAATATACTACTAATGTAATGGAGTTTTTTTCTCCAGCTTTTAAGTTTAAACTAAAATCTTATTATTCTATCTATAAATCTAATAAATGTTTAAGGGGTACTTTACAATTTTGGCAATTAAGTTCAGTTATATAGTCTAAACCACATTTATAAATGTAATATATGTGATTTTCTTTTTAAGTACTTCAAATACTTGACTAACAAGCAAAACTTTTCCAAGGACCTAAGCAATTCTTATAAATCTAATAAATTAAACTTTTAAATATCATGACCCTTAAGTTCTCTTAAATCTTTCAATACTGTTTACAAACTTAGCCAACTTCTCCTGGAACTTTCTACTCTAACGCTTTCTTCTAAAATCAACCACTAAATTAGACATTTAAACTAGAATCACATGGCTAATTACAAGGTCGACTATGCCAGAATCCCTTGAACATAAAAACGCTTTACAAACATTACAAGCGCTTTAATTACCAGACATTCAGGGGTTGTTTTAAATTCAACACGAAAACGTTAAAAAAATTGTTTTGTTTACTTCTCCTCCTTGTGGTTAACTCTAAAATCTTCCTAGCTTGGAAAACACCTGATAAGGAAAGAGTTTTATAATTCCCAGAAAATTGGAGCTTCTTTCCCACTGATTGGTTTTTCTCATTAACCAGAAATTTAGACACAGACACTAGGAACTAAAGCCCTTCAACTTGATAGTCTTTACTTTCCCTCCAGGCAGGATAAAGTTCTTATTTATTTATGTATTGTAGAGATCGTGGTCAGGGGTGGGTTCTCATTATGCTGCCCAGGCTGGGCTCAAACTCCTGGCCTCAAGCAATCCTCCCACCTTGGCCTCTCAAAGTGCTGGAATTACAGGTGTAAGCCACCATGCCCAGCTGAAAGCCCTTTTTAAAACAATCAACAGTTAGGGAATGCTCACCTCATGTCCTAAAAATGGGGCGCATGTAGCTGAACTGAATCTTCGAAGTTAAAGCTAAATTCTTTCCTAATTTGTTTGAAATGTCTTTAACCTATCATCACCAGATTTGAGTTCCAGAATTTAGTAACTTCTCATCTAGATTTTTCCTTCACTTGATTGGATGCAGTTAATCTATTTAGTATTTGATTCCTATGTGACCTGCCCCATGGGCTACATCTGCCAAGGCCGTATTAAAAACAGGAGGTAGGAGGACCCTAGGTATTTTGGTCACATGCCCACCTGCTGGGCCAAGTGAGCAGAACTGGTAGTTACCGCACCTTTTGACCATGGGTCCACAGACAGGGTAGGAAAAGAAGAGAGAAACAATAAAGTCACTGCTAGGAGAATAACAAGCAGCTACTGGCAATAGTTCTCAATCCACCCACACCACTCACCCCTTCCAAGTCCATCTCCACTCTGTGGGCAGTGCGATTCTTCTCAGATGCAAATCTGGTCATGCATGTTTGATACGGTTTGGCTGTATCCCCACCCAAATTTCATCTTGAATTGTCGTTCTCATAATCCCCATGTGTCATGGGAGAGACCTGGTGGAAGGTAATTGAATCATGGGGGCAGTTACTCCAATGTTACGATTCTTGTGATAGTGAGTGAGTTCTCATGAGATCTGATGGTTTTATAAGTGGCTTTGCCCCCTTTTGCTTAGCAGTTCCCCTTGATGCCACCACATGAAGAAGGACTTGTTTGCTTTCCCTTCCACCATGATTGTAAGTTTCCTGGAGGCTTCGCCAGCCCTGCCGAACTGTGAGTCAATGAAATCTCTTTCCTTTATAAATGACCCCGTCTTGAGTATGTCTTTATTAGCATCATGCAAACAGAATAATACGTTTCTTATTAAAAACTTTTGAGGGACCTTCATTGTCTACACTGTGGGATTGTACTACTCTATTCTTGCATTGCTATAAATACCTGGGACTGGGCAATTTATTTTTTTCAAAAAGTTTAATTGGCTCATGGTCCTGCAAGCTATACAGGAAACAAGATATTGACATCTGCTTAGCTTCTGGAGAGGCCTCAGGAAACTTACATCATGGTGGAAGGTGAAGGGGGATCAGGCCCAGCACGTGGCCAGAGCAGGAGCAGGAAAGGTCAAGGGCAAGGTGCTACACTTCTAAACAGTTAGATGTCACCAGAAGTCACTCACTATCAAAAGAACAGCACCAAGCAAATGGTACTAAACCATTCATAAGAAATCCATCCTCATGATTCAGTCACCTCCCACCAGGCCCCAACTCCAACACTGGGGATCACATTTCAGTTGGGGATTCGGGTGGGGACACACATCTAAACTATATTAGAGACCATGACCAGGGTCTTTACACCATTCACAACGCCCCTCATGAATGAGGGCTGCCAGACGGGTTTTCAGCCTAACCTTCTGGTATTTCTTATCTTTTGATACCTCTGACTGATAGAAGCAATGATTTACAGAGCCCTACATAGACACTATGAGCTTTTACACCTTTCCTTTTTTATACATGCCAGCCCCTCTGCTTCAATGCCCCTTCCTGTTTTCTTTGCTCACTAAACTCCCATTCAGACTTCAGAAACCTCTTCCAGGATCTCCTTCCTTCAACATCTCCCTCGTTTTTTTCAGTTGCTGGGGCTCCATTGCACTTTGTGACTCTATCAAGCACTCATCACAATGTTTGACAATTATTTATCAGCATATCCACTTACTATTAGACCATCAGTTCTTGGAAGGCAGGGTGTGTCATTTTTCTTTACAGCCCTAACATCCTCCGTGGTCCCTGGCACACAGAAAATCTCAGTAGGCTCTCCATGTGAGGCCTCTGTAACTAGTGTAACTGTGGAATATAAGAGCAATTAATACACATTATGGTGCACAGTGAAAATTCATGACTGTATATGTGTGTGTATGGGTTCAGGGTTGGGGAGAGAAACAGAAAATGAGATTTTAGAAGTCATAGTTAAATCAATCAACGACCTAAGAATTAGGAGAAATGTTAAAACACTAAACAGCACAGGCAAATGTGGGAGAATGGAATATTTAAGGCCTCTTCACTTTCATCTGAATAATAATAATAATCGTAAACATAGTTGGCCACAGTGGCTCATGCCTGTAGTCCAGCACTTTGGGAGATTGAGGCAGGAGAATCCCTTGAGGCCAGGAGTTTGAGACCAACCTGTGCAACACAGTGAGACCCTTGTCTCCATTTTTTTAAAATTAGCCAGGCATGATGGCACCCACCTGTGATCTCAGCTACTCAGGAGGCTGAGGTGGGACAATTGCTTGAACCCAGGAGTTCAAGGCTGCAGGGAGCTATGATCACACCACTGTACTCCAGCCTGGGCAACAGAGCAAGACTCTGTCTCTTAAAAAAAAAAAA